TTTGAGGTCTAAATTATTTGTTTGATTATGCACATTATCAAGTACTACACCTCTACCTCGATATAACGCTGTCCTCAGGAGCCAAAAAATCTTACCGCATTATAGGTGAAACCGCGTTATATCGAACTTGCTTTGATCCACTGGAGTGCGCAGCCCTGCCCCCCTTCCCCCGGAGCACTGCTTTACTGCATTATATCCGAATTCATGTTATATCGTGTCGCATTATATCGGGGTAGAGGTGTACTGAAAATTGTTTAATCTCTACAGAGACTTTGTTTTCTTTCTCAGAAGACCTTCGCTCAGTGGATCTGCTTTTCAATCTGGATCGTGTTACTGCGCTGGAGCATTTACTCAAGTCTGTCTTGCTCTACTCCTTTGACAGATCAGTTTTTAGTTCTTCTGCCATTACATGCACGTGCCACTTAGCTGTTAGGGAAAATGATCCTTCTGGTCAAGTGTGTCCCAATGTACCTCAGTCAATTACTTTTAATCTGCACTTTGAACTCAGAAGACACAAATGGGTTGAGATTGATGTGACCTCTTTTCTTCAGCCTCTAATTGCCTCTAACAAGAGGAGTATCCATATGGCTGTGAATTTCACTTGTCTGAAAGATGATCAACACCACAACTCTAAACAGGGAAATTCCTTTAACACGGCATTGGTGCCTCCTTCTCTTTTATTGTACCTAAATGACACCAGTGAGCAAGCTTATCGTAGGTGGAACTCCCTCAGGCATAGAAGGAAGAATCCAATGTGGTCCCGATGGAGAAATAATCCACTTGCAGATTCCATGAAAGAAATGGGAACAGAAAATATGCAGAATAAAAGGGCATCTCGCCACCGAAGAGATGATGTGAAAGAGAACCCATCTGCTCCAACTTATAATTTGAGTGAATACTTCAAACAATTCCTGTTTCCCCAAAATGAATGTGAGCTTCACAACTTCCGACTAAGTTTTAGCCAACTAAAGTGGGACAAATGGATAATAGCACCACACAGATATAACCCTCAATATTGCAAAGGTGACTGCCCAAGGGTGGTTGGGCATCGTTATGGCTCTCCTGTCCATACAATGGTACAGAACATCATATATGAGAAATTGGACTCCTCTGTTCCAAGGCCTTCTTGCATTCCTGCTGAATATAGTCCCTTGAGTGTCTTGACAATAGAGCCTGATGGTTCTATAGTCTACAAAGAATATGAAGATATGATAGCTACTAAATGTACTTGTCGGTAACATTTAAACACCACTTTACTGCTACTTATTTCAGAATATTTTTCCAATACTCTAAGCCATCTGTAGTCTTGGAAAAACTGAATGTCATAAGTGTAAGTAACTTCTATGAAATAGATATGCTATCAATTTAGCATGGAGTCCATGGCAGGTAACTGCATAATGGCATCACTTATTTTTGTAGCCCCTTGTAACTAATTGGAAATATGAAAATAGAAATTTAAGGAAATTTTACTTAATTTCCTTTTTATATGGAGAAATAATCCATAACTTGTATCTTTTATAAAAGTGTAAAGGATTTCATTCTATTGTAAGCTTTAATGCTATGGATAAAAATAAGGGGAATAAACACCTGTCATGTCATGGCATTTGTGTGGTTCTTGTTCAGTCTTGCTTGCATCCAAAAGACACTTTATATTTTTGGCAAGTGTCTGAGCACAGAAGGAGCCTTTAGTATTTCTGACTTCCTCAATTTTTAAGTATGCTTTTAATGATTCAAACCAGTTCCCTCTCCTGGTTGACAAAATTCAAGGTTCTCTGATAAATGGACCACCTGTTTTGTCAAACTGTTAGGGCTTTCTTAGAGGTTGGTGGTAAGTGACTATACTACTTATCTGGAGACAGTCCTAATTTTGTACCAGGAAGTCTAACTACATTTCTGGGCAGTAACTAGTAAAAATATTCTCATTCAAACATTTAAGAGAATTGTTTCTACAGTTAGCAGGAAAAATTACACTCCTTACTAATAGGTTATTTAAAACTGGCATTTAGTAACTTTTTAATGCTGCTGCTTTTTCTACTCTGGCCAGCTATGAACAAGAAATAACTGTTCAGACTGTGAACTAAACTTTAGAAATGAAACCATACTTGGTATGATGAACTTAAATAGACAGCTTTGAAAAGAACATTTCAAAAAATAAACAGTTCAGTCACACTTCCTGCTGAAGTTAAATGTTACTTAAATACAGTAGCGTTATGAACTGACCAGTCAATTACACACCTCATGTGGAACCAGAAGTATGCAATCAGACAGTAGAAGAGAAAAAGCAAGTAGAGTGTTAAACTAATAAAATAAGGGAAAGATTTAAAAAAAAAATCGACAAGGTGAGAATTTTCTGTGCTTTTTTTTTTCATTTTAAATTAAGATGGTCAAAAGCACCATTTTTCTTCTGCCTAGTAAAGTTTCAAAGTTGAATTAAGTCAATGTTTGGTAGTAAACTTTCAAAGAACCATAATGTTTTGTTCAGAGTTACAAACATTGCAGAGTTATGAACCGCCATTCCTGAGGTGGTGGTAACTCTGAGATTCTACTGTATGTACTGGTATTCCTAAACCTGAATACTTTTTTAAATAAAAAAAGAGGCCAGGCTTAACTGCTTTAATTTTTAAATTCAATATCTCAAATAACTTAATGTTCCCTACTCCTATGGATCTCCAGGCCTAAATCTCTGGTCCTGTTACTATTCTAAACATCTATTCCCATGAACTTCTGCTGTAAACATACACTCTGTAATGGAAACCTGCCCCCAGAGCTCTAGACAGGCAGCTACTGCACATAAGACTAGTTTTAAGTCATTTTAAGATTTTTTTTTTAGAACAGATTTTTTTTTTAATTTGCTCCTGAGTCCCCCTTTCACCTGGTGTGGTTCTACAATGCCTTTCTAGTTCAAAGCTTGCTCCTTAAGAGTAGCTGTTTAAAATGACAATCTATTATTAAGTATAAAGAGACCCTCTTTTTACCATAAAAATACTTTAAAAATCTGTTTTAGAATCCTGCCAGCTAATTCTTAGTTCTGGGATAGTGAGCTAGAGCAGTAAATGTTGTGCGGGGAGTTGTGCAGTTCCAAATCTAAAGCACAAGAGGTGAATGTGTGATTTATTTTTTTATTTTTATGGACATGGGAGAGAGAAAATGGTAACTATCTAGTAAATATACCAAGGCAAGACATGTTCCATATGTGTACTTATTATAATCATGAGCTTCTTTCTGGAAAACTAACTGTTGTACATTGAGAACTTAAGAAATAGGGACTGTTCAGCTGTCTTTAACTTGAGGCTTTTACAGCACTTCACAACCCATCCTCTCAAGGAAGTATTACTGAGATTATAAACTCTTCTGGGCAGGAATGTTTTTTGTGTGTGTTTTGACAGTGCCTATGACAATGCTGTCTTGGTTTGTGAGGTGAGGCTCCCAGGTACTACTGTAATACTAATCCACATTCTGTAGATGGGGAAAACAGGCACAAACAGATGAAGTGATTTTAATCCAGTTCAGAGAGGAATTTGACTCTGTAGTGAGTTCAAGATCCTTACTTTACCTCTTCACTACACCTAATGTAAAAACCAGTCTTGCAAAATCCTAGTGATAAACTACAATGTTTACATAAAGTTTAGCACACCTGATGAGGCTATGCCTATTCTACTTGCCATAATGGACAATCTGATGTTTGAGGGGAAGACTTAAACAAACCTTCAGAATACAACTAGCAAAGATCCTGATGCTGTAGACTCTTTTATGTGTGTGAAGTTACTGGGTTGAGTTGGGCAAATAAAAGATGATAGGCGCAAGTCCTAATTGTGCAATGGTGTAGCTGCTAGGATGAAGAATTCTAGCCTGATCCTTGCAACTGTTCAGGTTACAGCTTGAGGCAGGAAAGCTGACCAACCTGAGATTTAAAAACTGAAATAAAAACTTACTTTATATATATTTAAAAAAAAAAACTATAAAATTCTTCAGCCCTAACCTCAATTTTAACCATTAGAAAATGTCTGCCAAAATACCAATTGATTCTATTTACTGACCTCTCAGGACCACAGCAGATCAATGAAGTACTTTATACACAATTTCAAACTGGTGTGAATTTTGACTGTAAACTCTAATCTCGGGCCAGTATGACCCTTCAGTAGCAGTACAATATGCTGTCATGTAAGACAAGCAAGCTTGATTCTTATACTTGGCTATTTTCAGTACCCTGCTCATCAGACTGGTTCTTCTATCCGCGGTGCCTGGGCCAGCAACAATCTTTCTGGATGAATCATGTGGTGTTAACAGGCTTCTTAGTGAAGATGATGCAGGGTCTTTGTGGTAGGAGGGAAGCACTTGGAAGATGCTGAAGACGAAAGAAACCTTACCCTCCTCTCATTAAGGAAGAAATTTAGGAAACTCCCCAAAAACAAGCAAAACTGGTCTGAATGAACAAGACCTGTGTCAAAGGCAAGGTCAGGGTCTGGGGCTACCAGGTTAATTAACCTATTGGCTGTAATAGCAGCAGCTGCTACTCCTATAGCCCCTATGCATGGATCAGTATTACCCTATTTGGCACAAGCAAGGGGCCTAGTACCTTGACCTCAGAGTGGTGCTAAAGGCCCCAGCATAGTCACCCCACACCCAGCCCTGGCTGCGCTCTACAAATAGAAACAATAATTAATTCACTGAGAGGTGGTGGGAGGGTCAGAGTAACCTCAGGAGAGGTTATGCCTGGGGGATGGGGATAGTACCATAGAGCCTGTGTGTAGTAGTTCCCAATGGGGGAGGGCAGTAAGGGGAGGCCAGAGGGACCCTGGAGACCCTGTGAGGTATTGGGGGGGGGCAGAGACCATGGAGACCCCATGGGAATAGTGGGGGGACAGAGGGACCCTGGAGACCCCGCGGGAGCAGTGGGGGGTAGAGGGACCCTGGAGACCCCGCGGGGGCAGTGCGGGAACGGAGGAACCGCAGCGGGTAGTCGCGTAGGGGTCCCGGCCTCCTTCGCCCTCTCAGCCTGCAGGGGGCGCTGCCGCCTTCCCGTCCTCTCCGCCCCTCGCTCGGGAGGCGGGGCCAGGCCGCTCGGTGAACCCGGATGGCGCCCCGGAAGCGGAAAGGGGGCCCTGGCAGGACCGCAGAGACGTGACCTCCGGACGTCCGAGCGAGCGGGCCTGGGTGAGAGCGGAGCGGTCTGGGGGAGCCGCCGCTGCCGGGGCTCGGCGGGTGTGGCCATGCGGCTGCGGGGGCTGTTCGGGCGGGGGGTGGCGGGTCTCCCCCAGGGCTGCGGCTGCCCCCGGAGAGTTACTGGCACAGTCCGGCTCCCTTCCTCCCAAATGCGGTTCGGTCCCATCCCCACCCAGCCAGACCTTGTTGTAGCCCCGGCCCCGGCCCGGCCCGGCCCGAGTCCCCAGTGGCGCTGAAGCGGGAGCCCGGGGTGGAAGTTGAAGTAACACCGCGTAGCTTCCTCTCTGCTCATCCCGCCTCTACACGCGTCTCAGCCCCTTCCAGGTGGCTTGATTGAAATCACCAAGTGGAAAGCCTCGATTTAAATCCTTGATTTTAGTCAGCGTTTCCATTTGTACCTCAGACATTTCGCGGAGAGAGGTGCATTCTCAGGAGTAGATATAACCCTCAAAACATGTTGATTTTCAACTTAAGTAGAGCCTTTACGTTACATTTGGTGCATCTTTTTGCTACTTAGTGATGATACACACGATGGTGTCTTCTGGATTCAGAGGCTGGGTCCAAATGCTTGTGACGAATTTGCCAGTCTCTTGCACTCAGTAACACCACCTCTAAGTCCTCCACGGGATCAAGCCTTTAATACAGTTTAATACCTATTGTGCTGTATTTATAAAGCGTGATCTCAAAAACTTAGAATTTCATTGACTGATTCTTTATATAGAAAAGCATCCTGTAGTTCAAAGTTTTTGATAGACTTGTGAGTGCAGCATATTTTTTATTTAAATGTTTGAAGAGATTATAATAAGTTTAGGCCTTAACATATTTTGTATTAAATTCAGCTTTTGTTTTAACTCGATTTATTTTTAAAAAGAAAAACTATTTAAATGTTAAAAATCCAATTTTTTTATCATACAAATCATCGATTTGGATCCACCCTAAGGAATATTGTGTTTAAAATCAGTCTATCTCCATAGTAACTAGCACTTTGCTTTTGCAGTACAGGCAATTAAAAATGGGTGGCCATTTTGGAAACTTGGAAAGAGTGAGGCATGTGATCACTTACAGCTTGTCTCCATTCGAGCAGAGGGCATTCCCTAACTACTTCACCAAAGGAATTCCAAATGTATGGCGGCGATTTCGTTCACAGGTCTTCAGGGTAGCTCCTCGTAAGTCCTAATTCCTTTGAGTGAATTATTTAAACTTCTGAACTGCCTTGTGTACCATATGTACTGTATTCACTAACGCCAGAGTTAAATTAAAGATGCTGATTGGTGTCATTTCTGCATCTATATTTCAAATCTTTGATATTTTAAAAAAGCTTATAAAATAATCTTCTCCTGCCCACAAGCATGGAATTTTATGTTAAAACTTTTATAAGAAGATCTTAAACAAATTCAGGGAATAAAACCATCATCAAAACTACAAATGCATGAGACAGTTTGTGGAGCAGGTATGCTACATAAAGGGAGATGAAAGAGAAAATGTTCTAGATATGAGGCCAGCAGCTGTCATGAGTGGATTTAAATCCAGAGGAATGGGCTAAGAGATGTCAGGAGGAACTCTTCATACACCATAGGGCCATTCATAGTACACGCACGATTGCCTGCAAATCTAGGCATCCATAATAGGATGATGGCAGAGTGCAAATACTCATCGGGATGATTTTTAGGTGTTTAACTCTTATATTGGCGAGGGCTTTAAAAATCAAAAGGAATCGCCTTAAAACATGGTGATCTCTACAGTAACTTCCAGCGTCTATCCCAGGACTGTAATCAATGCAGCATAATGCAAGACATTTTCACGTATCTACTGTAATGTAACTTGTAGATATTCACTGCTTTTTTTGTTTGTTTTTTGTTTAAGCTTTTGTGCTGGCCTATGTTGTTTACATCTGGGGGAACGAAGAATTTGAGCGACTGAAAAGGAAGAACGCTGCTGACTTTGAAAATGATGAGTAATACAGCTAATAGGGAGATCTTAGTGTATTAATGTCAGAGTCCCTTCCTTGTTTCTAAACTTGTTCACATACACACAAAAGGATATTTATTCTAGCAGGCTGTGAAAGCTTGTTCAATAAATCTTAGTTCCTATCCTGCAGTGTTGTGTGGAATTCTTGTCTTTGACTGCTTTGTCTCACTCACTTGATACAACTGAGGCTCCCTGACAGATTTTAAATTCTGCAGAATCTAAGTTTTCATTTGAAGAGTGTCTAGCCTTTATCACCATTAAAGACATTCCAGACACACTGAATGTAACTGATGCAGTGTTGTCTTCAGGCAGACAAAGGTGAGCTCTGGTCCTTCCCCGAGCTGCATCCCTGGCCCCATCCCCAGCCTCCGCACGGCTCCGCTCCCAGCCCTGCAACAGCCTCGGCTGCTGGCCATGGTTCCATTCCCAGCTGGGGGACAAGGCCGGGAACAGAGCGGCACCTGGCCCAGGCCCAGCTGCAGCTCTGCCCCGAGCCTCAGTCCAGCCCGAGACCCACCCCCAGCCTCAGCCTCTTTACTCCTGTTGGCGTTTCCCCCTCCCCCAAGCCATGACTCCAGGGGGGCGTGGACAGCTGTAAGGGGGGATGTGACCCTCAAAAGTTTGGGAACCCCTGCCCTATTGTGAAAATGATTACACAATAATGGTTTTATTTAGCTGGCCTTGTATGAGGTGTCTAATTCATTGGCCACTGGGATAAATTAGGTAGTGGTGTTACCAACACAGAACTGTTTCTCAGTTCAGAGATGGTCCCTGTAAAATAAATCATCTTTATACCTGAGATAGGTTTCTACTAGGCTATATTTAGATAATTTCCTGTCTGTAATGGCTGTTGTAGAACTATATTTATACCCAAGGTTTTTCCTTTTCCAGCTTGTCTCTAAAAAGTAATCGGAACATCTGTTTTCTTTTATGGGCAGTGTCAACACAGGCTCTGCCAGGGTATGCTAAAAGGGCTTCACCTTTCTCAGGCCAAACAGCTAAAGAACTTCAGCTAGTTCCAATTGCTTTTCCCCTTTGCCTAGAGCTAGGATGAAAAGCACCCTTCTGCCACTCTACCATGTTGTTCCTCAGGCAGCTGCTGAGAATGTGCAGGGCGTGTCCGTGGCAGAGAGACTGAGTGAAATTCTTTTCTCTGAATGCATATTGCCTTTGTGATAACTATCACTGTGTTCAGAGGGCTGCATCTTCAAGGAGCAAGACAATGTAGGAATACTGGCTGCATTTAACCTTAATAGCTTGATATTTAGCATAGTCGAACCCTAACTGAAGTGAAGAAGCTCATACTGCTTTGTCGGGAATGGATCAGCCCGTCTTAAATGTTTGCCAAGCATGTAGAAAATCCTGAAGATAATGCAAATAGCCTTTCAGTGCTAAATCACCTTGTTGGCTCATCCTGTGCTGATGAAAAATTAGTTACATTGTTAGTTTGACTTTAGGTTTGAGTTATATTTTACTCCTGGGGGAATTGTGTGTGCCTGCAGAAAATGCCTCCTCCCCCCAGCCCATTACTTCACTTCCTTGCAGCAAATGACAGGAAAGCCATGCAGGGGCAAGGCAGGGGGATGAGTATGTGTGCAGTTTTTTGGGGGGGATTTCCCCCCAAAGGCAAGGTGGGGGGGCACATGGGGTTACATGCTGCTCCCCCCCCCCATTTCTGCAAGCACAGAGTTGCCCCGCTGAAGGAGGCTACCTCTCAGCTCTGCTGACTGCAGCTGAATGCTGCCTTTTTCTAATGCCAGTCGTGCTCCCTTTGTGTCTGCTGGGAGCCTTCCTGTTTCTGTGCAACAGTGAGTGCTTGTGGTGGGGCTGGGTAAGGGGAGGGGAATAAGGCAAGGGGGGTGGGTGAAGAGGCAGTGGGGAAGGAAGAGAGGTGGAATAGGGCAGGAGGAGGAGAATGTGGAAGTAAGGGGAGGGGGGAAGTGGGAGCCTGGCATGCGGTAGCAGCTGGGGTCCCCTGTTAAGCAAGCCCATCGAACTCTCAGCCCGACAAGCCCAACCCCACCTGGACCCCCACCCCATCAAGCCCCACTCCCCCAGCATCCAGACCCCCCCACTAAGCCCCTCAAACCCAGACCACCCCTGCTGAGCCCCATCTCCCCAGAGTCTATTCCCCCCCCCACAGAGTCCAAACCACCTTCACCTGGATCCTCTGAAGTCCCATTGCCCCTGCAACGAGCCCCTGTGCATCCCAATTTCCCACTGAGCTGCCCACACCCAGATTGCCCCACACAGAAACCTCTCACCCAACACCTGGATCCCGCCCCCCACTAAGCCCCTCCACATTTGGATCCTGCAGGGCTGACCCTGCCCACCCACATTTGATGCAGAGGGGCAGAACCCCGGGGTGTTTCTCGGACAGGCCCAGCCCTTGCACTATGTTAAGGTCAGGTGCAGCCTCACTGCCGAATCCCTGTACTGGGGGAGGTGGAGGCTTCAGGGTGATCTCCCACCTCAGTGCAGCCAGTGGCCTGTGCTCCCCACTGCCATGCTGGAGCCACATTTATTGACAAATACAATTTGCAGAATTTTAAAATACTGTGCACATAATTTTTATTTTTTGGAGCAGAATTCCCTCAGGAGTAATATTTCAATGGCATCAAAGCCTAAACCTAGTGTACGGAAATAGCTACAATTTCCAAGCCACTATGGCAAACATTGGTAGGTGATAACTTTTGTACTAGTAAGAATGGTGGCAAAGCTCATCAAAGGCAGACTTAATAATACTAGATCACAGTATAAGGCCCATTATTGTTAGAGAAGACAGGCTTCCTTTGCAAGCTTTCAGCACCTTAAGAGATTTTGCTTTTTTTCCTCCCTCCCTCAAACACATCTGTTTCAAAGCTTAAATGACAGGTTTAGCCTGCTACAAGTTAAACTCATTAAAAGTGTAAACCTTTTTTTTTTCCCAACAATGCTCTACAGTTTGATTTTACTGAACTCGTATCGTTTCTGTATCAGTTCCTGTAATGGACGTCTTCCCTAGGGAAGGACTATTTCTTCAAGCTGGGGAACACATTCTTTCTGCTGCATGCCAAAAGCACTTGGCTACAGCATTTGCTTTATTTTTATTATTTTACTTGCTTTGTCAAGCCTGAGAATATTTCAAGCGCTGAGAGCTGTTGAACTAAAATTTGAGCAAATTGCTGCATTCTGCTGCAGTGCATCTCCACCCCGTTCTTGGATTCACACACACATCCTTCATCCCAAACTTAGTATCCATATCCTTTATGTTAATCCTTATCCGGTAAAGAATGCCATCTGAATGACAGCCCACATCTGATGTCCTTTCATGTCAGGGCTGGGGAAGCTGCCATTACCCATGTTTTACCTGTTCTGGAAATAAAAAGACACCTGGTTGACTTCCACTGCTATGATATTCACCTTTCAGAAGAAATACAAGAGGGGACTTGCATAAGCAAGAAAATAGGGAGAGTGCTGCTTTCTAAACTGGAAGCTACTGTTTCCCAAGGGGGGGGGGCAGCTATGTTTATACAGCTCAGACTTTCAAAGTCCACTACAGACAAATTAACCGTCACACCACACAACCCACAAGTCCCATTTAACAAATAGGGAAATTGGCACATAAAGGAGATTACGTAACTTGTACAAGATCATGCCAGCTGAGATTCTAACAGCCTTTCCAGCTCCCTGCTTAAAGTGCTGGCCAGGGCCAGCTCCAGGCACCAGCTTAACAAGCAGATGCTTGGGACGGCAAAGGGAGAGGGGCGGCACCTGTGGCAATTCGGGGGGGGGGGGGGGGCAGGTCCCTCACTCCCTCTAGGAGCGAAGGACCTGCCGCTGAACTGCCGCCACCGATCGCACGTTTTTTTTCCCTCCCCCCTTCCCCCCAATTGCCACGCGATCGTGGCTTTTTTTTTGCTTGGGGCGGCAGAAATGCTGGAGCCGGCCCTGGTACTGGCTGACAATTGCTTCTTGTACTCATCTCTGCTTGTTTGTAAGGGCTGCTAAGTAGGCAATATAGAGACTGGCCGGAGAATGTATTCGGGTTCCTCAGAACAAGATGCAAAGGAAAAAAGGGCTCATCGTCAGCACAATCAATTGCTTCAGGCTCAGCCCTTTTGACCTGCTGTACTTTACCAACTGATCTCTATCTTAAACAGCAGGCCCAGAGAGAGGGTTACAAAAGGTTTAATTCTTGCTCCCAGTGAGCTGGTACAGAGGTAGCCAGAAGTGAGAGAGAGAGAGAGAGAGTGTGTGTGGAGGGGAGAGAGACAGAAAATCTGTCTGATACTATGTAAGGTTTCTATTTTGAACACCAGTCCAATTGGCCTACAAGATAAATGCAAGGGCTGTTTTTTGCATATTTAGAGGGCATCAGTCCTACAACATGGCGTTATAATTGAAATTCCTCCCTCCGAGTTGGCATCAGCAAGTATCTGCACATGAAGTTGTGGAAAACTACTGTACACACTTCTATGTCAAGGATGTTTGATAGGGATCATTTAAATCTTTCTGTACTGGAATTTATGTATTTTAACTGTATCGTGTCATTATACAGTAGCTTCAAAGGAACTCAGAATACTTTTCAGCCACTATGCTCTCCAGAATCCTCAGTGTTCCTAAAAGAAGTGTAAGGGAATGGGCTAAAGATATTCATTCCTACACTAGCTCTAATCTCCAAAACCCTTCACTAGATTGATTCTCACTGAGATATAACTGTATGTGGAGTAGATTTGGGAGCCAGGTACAGAGTGTTGCACATGCATAGCACCATAGACAGGAAGTGACCTCAAAAGGTCAAGTCAAGCCCCCTGTGCTGAGATAGGACCTTCCTTGACAGGTGTTTAGCTAACCTATTCTTAAAACCATCCAATGACGGGGATTCCACAACCTCCCTTAGAAGCCTATTCTAGAGCCTAACTACCCTTATAGTTCAAAAGTTATTCCTAATATCTAACCTAAATCTCCCTTAGTGCAGATTAAGCCAATTACTGCTTGTCCTACCATCAGTGGACATAGAGAACTGTTGATCATAGTCCTCTTACAGCCCTTAACATACTTGGAAGACTATCTGCCTGAACATGCCCAGTTTTTTTTAACCTTTCCTCAGAGGTCGAGTGTTCTAAACCTTTTATAATTT